ACTACTACTACTACTACTACTACGGCGCTACTACTTCTGCTACTACGAGAACTACAGCTACAACTACAGGAATTACAACAACAACAACTACTACTACTACTACCACTACTACAGCTATATTGTTATAATATACATACAGTATTATAATGCATATTACACACACACACATACAAGGTTATATTACATGCAAGGCTCCTGGCGGGTGTCCCAAACCCATTGGCCAGTCTCCTCATTGGAGCTCGTGAACTTCTCGATCGCGATCACCCGGCTGGATCCCCAATCTTCCCCAGACATAATGAACTCTTTGAAGAGCTCGTTGATACGCTTTGTATCTCAGCGAATATATATGTAATTTGGGATTCTAATTAGAGCACATCTACAACCATACAATTTTTCTCGGATTATATACACACACACATCAATGACGCAGCCGAGGATCCCTTCGGGCCTTTGCCGGCGTGTGCTTTCTTCCACTCCGAAAGCAGCTTGGGCGGGCAAGCAGGACCTAGGCTTGTACTGCTGGAATTGCAATGAATTAAATAGCATAGCTACGGTTTCTATAGGGGCCTGAAAGAATAACGATTCCGACTACAACGTCTAGTGTGGACACCAAGCTGCTCTGAAAAGTTCGGTTGAACCGCATGTAGTTGGGCTTGTAGAAGTCATCCTGTTGGTCGAATGCTTTTGAAGCTAACTATCCATGTCTGCGACGAGAACCGATTGAGAGAACCCCATACCACAATATCTGAAACATTCCTGGCCTTGAGCTGCTTCTCGATCTCATCCAGCCTGGCCTCATACCCTGCTTTGTCGGTGGCGCTGACAGAGCTTGCATCGGAAGCTGGTACCGGGGCAACGGTCGTTGTAGCTGCTACCGGGTCTGCGGTGGTTGCAATCATTTCTTGATCAGGCTTCTCTTGAGGATGGGGCATGGCAAGCTTCTCAGGGGGGCTTGCTCTGGGCATCTTGTTTTTGAGGGCCTGCTCCAAAGCATTGATTGCAGAGATACCCCCTGTCTGCTCTGGCACTTCGGACCCCCCCTTGGCAATCTCAATCGCTGCCGCTAGCAACTCCATGTCCACAGTTCCAGGTCTCAGAAGGGCTTGATGTACTGAGCTAGGAACCTTCGGGCTAGGGTCAGCCAGATCGACACTGCGCATCTCCACATCGGCATCGGCACTGGGCGGCGGGACACTCGCTTGGATCTTTTCTAGGCCACTCGCATCGGCACTGGGCGGCGGGACACTCGCTTGGATCTTTTCTGGGCCACTCGCATCGGCACTGGGCGGTGGGACACTCGCTTGGATCTTTTCCGGGCCACTCGCATCGGCACTGGGCGGCGGGACACTCGCTTGGATCTTTTCCAGGCCACTCGGATCGGCACCGGGCGGCAGGACACTCCCTTGGATCTTTTCCGGGCCACTCGGATCGCTGGGCGGTGGGACACTCGCTTGGATCTTTTCCGGGCCACTCGGATCGGCACTGGGTGGCGGGACACTCGCTTGCATCTCTTGTGGCTTCATCTCTTCATCCTTCATGGGTCAAGATTACCATAGATGGCTCAGTAAATATATACATATATATTTATATCCTGGATAACACAACTCCCCTAGTCCCCTATCAAGATCCCTGAGGTGCGGCCTTTAAAACTTTAAATACAAGTATACCTAAATTAGCTACTTTCTTGTAATTTGTGTTCGCACACTGCCTGCTCCACTTGCAAGCTCAAAGCACTTAGATCCTTTGTAATCTGCGTCGAAAGCTCCATGAGGTCGTCATCCACCTCCATCTGCGTTTGGTCGCAGAGCTGGTTGTGGATCGCACGGGCCTCGCGATCGTGTCTTGGTCACTACGGATCCGATTGTATGTGGGGTTCAATCGAAGCTACACTTTAAATGTCAAGTGGTTTTTCGTTCGTACATAAACAAGTAGGCTCCTCTCTAGGTTGATGGGGTCCTGGAACCTTATTATAAGGATTAGAGTTTGTGGGCAAAGTAGACTCTGTCTCTAAAAATATATTATAACACATATAATATATATTCATACGGAGAATTATAAATTATAATACCTATATATTACTAGTCATTTGGGGTCATAATGATCCTATAGTGTCATTATCGGGTACTAGTTTCGGGGTCTTTGTTCGGAAACTTACATAACAAGCTTATTGGGATTTCGAGTACGGACAGGGTAGAGGGAGTGTTTTAATCTGTAAAAGACCCACATAGCTTTCGAGACCCGGCTTTTGCATATAATGCTTGACAAACAAATCCCATTAATTGTTAAACACCCTATATAGCTTGTAATCTATAACCCATAAGCCAGACACCAACCCTCCGGATCCGGTCTAAACATGAGATGATGCGGATCATTCAGAAAAACCTCGGTTTGGATTCCGAAACCTGTGAATGTTGCAGCTAGAGAGCCTTTCGAACATCACCCGGGGTCTGGAATTCAGTGGTTTCTGAATCCAGGGAGTTGGCACTTGACGACCGCGCCACATCTCCAAGGTCATCGTCGGATCCTTTGTATTGCGGGCAATTTTGCAAACGGTGGGTTTGCGATGATATGATTGCATGATCAAATGATGCCCCGATGCTCATATGTGCTACTAAAAGACCTTGGAAGGAGAGCTTGGTCGGTGTCGGGGCGACCTTTTTCATGGCCTTTGGGTCCGGGGTCTTAGTAGATGGAGTGGACGCAATGGTTGAGGGCGTCCGGGAAGCACGACTGCGCTTGCTGTCATCTTCCTCAATCGTCTTCGGCCCTGCATTGCAGGAGGACATTGCCTTAACAAGGTCCTTCCGGCGTTTCGCTTGCTCCATCGCCTGCTTCGCCACCTCCAACATTGCAAAAACAGCAAGAAACTAGGCCAAGACTGTGGCATGATGGTTTGATGTCTGCCTTCTGCAAAGCAAGATCGTTCGAAGACATGGCAGCGAGGGTGCTCAGGCCAAGGTCAAAGGATCACTCGGAAAAGCTGCACCACAGGGAAAAATCACGATTGCCAAAGCCACGCAAAACCACGCGGAAGTCACGCGGCCATTCTGGTGGATCCTATTAACTTTATAAGGGAGAGCTAAAAATCACGATGGCCAAAACCACGCAGAATCACGCTGCAATCACGGTCGGCTTGGGGCCTTTGGGTGCCCTTTACCGACCTGTTGCACAATCGATTTGGGGCACAGCATATCGTTCCAAGCAATGCCGGATGCTCGCACACCGCTTTTCTTAGGCCCACCTTGCATATAATGCGGCTTCAAGCAACTCGCCCCAGCCCTGGATGAAACAACTTGGGGTCAAACCGGCCAAAAGCCTGCTCCTGTTTTAGGAAGCTTTCCATCTCAGCAAGCTTCGCATACTGCCACAGAACCTAGGAATGTCATAGACAGCCGAAGGACATGCCAAATCCTCCAAATGTATAGCCGAGGCACATCCTCCTGGTAATTCTGCTGAGCAGCCTCCGGGACGACGTCCAGATGCGGGCGAGCCTTTTGGGTCGCAGCTATTTCAACTGCTGAAATCTAGGATTTGTAGTCCCAGGACTCATAGTCGTGGATAGTGGTCGTAGTAGTAGTAGTAGAAGTAGTAGTAGTAGTAGTAGTAGTAGTAGTAGTAGTAGTAGTAGCGTAGTAGTAGTAGTAGTAGTAGTAGTAGTAGTAGTATAGTAGTAGTATAGTAGCAGTAGCAGTAGCCGTAGTAGTTCATACATAGTATATATATATATATATATAGATCAGAATATATAGCATTATACTATATGCGATATAGCATTTTTCGTATGTATGCTAGTAATATATATATATATATATATATATATCTAGATATGGTAGTATTATAATATATATAGTAGTATATAGTGGTAAAGTAGTAACGTAGTGTAGTAATACTAGTCGCAGTCGTAGTCGCTGTAGCAGTATAGTAGCTAGTACCTAGTGGTATATATACAGTCCCAATCCTCAATACCCTCAGCCACATTATGATCAAGGTGGAGGTGCATAGTGATATATAACTATAGTTCAAGCTGGCTAATATAGTACATGAGGATTTCGGTTTGACAAGGCTGCTGTATTGTCGGGTTAAGCACATCCCATAGTGAAGCAAGCAATCTGCCTGGCTTCTGATGAGTTGAGGTTTTGGGGGTCAGTCAGCACAGAACTGGTCAGGATCTATATAGGCTACGGTTACCCGTTTAAACCCGCCATGCTATATAACTTAAAACCCCCCGCTAAACCACGTCGCCGACCTCGGCATCTGCACCACTGCGCTCTGGAGCCTTGGACAATCAGTGGCTTTGAGCCTCTCCAGGTTTTTATATTACAATAAATATGTGTGTGTAGATGTATTATAGTACAGGTTTAATGCCCACCTATATGAGAATCTCCTCAGCTAAGGGGTGCTCCTTCAGGGCCTGTACATGGAACTTGGTTTTAGAAGGACTGTTTTGAGGAGTGTGAACACCTGGTGTATGTGGCTTCAGCTTCAGGGGTATTAAGAATTTTCGGCAAGGTTCCACGACTGCTCAGAAAGTTTCAAGGATGTACTGGCTTTCGGATGCTTGGCATTTCTTGAATAATCGTTATTTGCTTCGGACCTTCTGCTGGGGCTGCACTATCTGATCTGCAACTATGAGGACTTCAACACTAGCCAAGTGCTTGCAGGAAGTTGAATACACTTATTTTTCTGCTTATTATAAATGGACCTATACCTGCTACTGATGGTCTTGTGGTGAGGAACTACATCCGACTCTATCCGGTATGTTACTTCATTCCGATATATGGCCCAGTAACCCCTCCAAATCGCTACAATGCCCCTGATATCTACTTATGTACTGTATATGACCAGAACGTATAGCACCCTCAGTCCAATATGGAGCCGATCCGTTCTATTGGCGAGACACCGGTGAGTCCCGCACCAACACCTGTTGTCCAGCGATAAGCTTGGCAAACTCCCGAGGGTACTGGCCCGACAGCTTCAGCTTGCTCTTCTTGCCAGTCCTCGAGCATCTGATCTACAGATACCCCATGCATATACAAATATTGATCACTGGCGAAGTAGAAGCATAGCTTGCACTTCGCACGTAGTTGTAGCAGCAGCATTAGGTACGTATACTGAGTTAGTTTACATAGTACATAGCCGAAGAGTAGTATAATAGAAGTAGTGGTAGCTAGACTAGTCGTCGTAGTCGTAGTTACGTGGTAGCAGTAGTAGTAGTAGTAGTAGCAGTAGTAGTTATAACAGTAGTAGTAGTAGTAGTAGTAGTAGCAGCAGTAGTAGTAGTAGTAGCAGCAGTGGTAGTAGTAGTAGTAGTAGTAGTAGTAGTAGTAGTAGTAGTAGTAGTAGTAGTAGTAGTATGTAGTGGTGGTAGTACCGTATTAGTAGCAGTAGTAGTAGTAGTAGTAGTGGCCGTGGCAGTGGTGTTGTAGTCGTACTAGCTACTACCACAACCACTACTACTACTACTACTACTACTACTACTACTACTACTACTACTACTACTACTACTACTACTACTACTACTACTACTAGTACTACCGCTACCACTACTACTACTACTACTACTACTACTACTACTACTACTACTACTACTACTACTACTACTACTACTACTACTACTACTATACTACTACTACTACTACTACTACTACTATTATAGTAATAATAGTACTCCTGCTGCTACCACTTGTACTGCTACTATTGCTACTCTGCTACTACTGCTACCATTGCTACTGCGAGTAGTAGTAGTAGTCGTAGTAGTAGTAGTAGTATTAGTACTGCTACTACTACTACTACTACTACTACTACTACTACTACCACTGCTACCACTGCTACCACTGCTGCTACTGCTGCTACTACTGCTAGTGCTAATATTAGTGTGATTCCTACTACTATAACTACTACTACTACTACTACTACTACTACTACTACTACTACTACTACTACTACTACTACTACTACTGCTACTACTACTACTACTACTACTACTGCTACGACTGCTACGACGACGACGTACTACAACCTCAACTACCACTACACGTCACGTCCCTTCCCACCCAGACTCCAGAAAAATATAAAGCCCTCGCCACAATCATTGCATACAACAAATAATAAGTTAAGCCCTGCAACCAAGGTTCACAGCGACCTTGTTGCCTTTCTTGCGATGCACTGCCAGCCCCGAGTTTCTTCGAGTCAACTGGTGCAGCATTTGCTTCGACATTTTCGAACAGTCAATCGCTGAGAGATAATTCCTTGGGTCGAGGATACAAGAACACGTGTAATACATATCAGGATCTAATTTGACGAGATTCGCGGTCCCGAACAACAGGGTGCGCTTCGGTGCAAAGTGTCCGTACTTTGCCATCCAACTTAGATGTGCAACACATGACAGTCACTATATTATTATACTGACATGAGTCATGAGGCTCAAACGTTGCAACAGATCTGACCGTATAAGGCAGGGACAATCTCTTCACCGTTGCTACATAATTTGTGATGTTCATCACGTGCATCATGGGGGTGAACTCAATGATCTTCGAGCTTGAGGGCTGTTCAACCTGCATCTGGTATGGTTTGTGTTTATTCAGAAGCAGAGGGCTTCGACCACACCTCTAAAGTACATTGCTGCCTAGTTACCAAGTAGGTGCAGTCCAGGGCCAAAGCGACAAGTATCAATATGCAGGTTCTGGAAGCTATTGTGTTTGCATTCAAGACTGACTGCTGAGATATATCGCCGTCCGGATGGAGATGCCGCTGCGTTCTGCTGCGACTCAGCCACACCCACCTTAGTTCACAAGTGTTTGGGTTCAGGGTTTCTATAGGCTTCCTTTACATAACGGTTGAGGGTATCTATGGTATTATAGAGTGGGGGAACTGGTTACCGGAGCAGTACCAAAGTGCGCATAGCATAATTATCAGCCCACACAGACAGAGCGAGACAGAGAGAGAGAGAGAGAGAGAGAGATAGAGAGAGAGAGAGAGAGAAAGAGAGAGAGAGAAAGAGAGAGAGAAATAGAGAGAGGGAGATAGAAGAGAGAGAAAGACAGAGCGAGAGACAGAGAGAGAGAGAGAGCGAGATTGAAACAGAGATAAAGAGAGACAGGAATATAATCAGTTATTGGCGGCCAAGCACAGGAGTTCAATGCCCGGGAAGACGACAACGACATGCTAACAAACCCTTCTTAATTCCACAGTCACCATCAGGATGTCTGACGTGCTAAGCTACTTGAGACACACAGATCACCATTTTATTTATTTCGATCGTAAGCACAGAATGACTTACTTTACTAGCTGCCAAAGGGCGATCCACATGGGATACCACACCACAGCAGGCCACGTCGTTTGAGACGCAAGACATTCTTCAAGGCATGTAAAAACCCTGTGTTGGTTAGCATGTCGTGCTCGTTGTTCAAGAGGATATCGAAGGAAAACCTTGGGACGTCTTGTACCAGTCTAGCTATCTCAGATTAACGTGTGCACTAGCAGAACAAACGTCGTGACTGAGGCTGGGTCGCTTGAAGGCCGGCGGTTTCTTAGAGAAGGGCAAGCTTCAAGTTATGATTATAGCATCCCAAAAACACACCTGCGAGTACCCCCGATTGCAATCCAGGCAAGATTCTGCAGCATCGTGTCAACATGGTGCAGCCAGCGTAGAGCTCTACCACATCCAGCTCCTGCCAGCTTTAAGGTGGCCATGGGACTTGGAAAAAATTAATGAAGTTCTTATGCCCTGTTGTAGCTACGGTATCCCCATGCTATGTTTTAAGTCCGATGAACATTATTGTGGAGGGATCGGCTACTGAACCTGGCCCTTCCGAAAGAATGCAAGCTTTGGAGATAACCACAGATGGGG